TTACACCTGCACGCCTAATCCCACCGAATTAACAGGACCACCTGTCGTGTTCTTTTCACGCTGACACAATGAACATGGTTTAACTGACAGTAACACAGAACTCTGAGGTGCCTGGTTAATGGTTATGACGCGTGTAACACATGTTTGTAAAACGAAATAGTTCTACACTTAAATACTTCTCACGCGGTCACTTCCACTCCCTCCCATTTAACATGGGAAGTGGCTAGATATTATTTATTCAACCAAAGATAAGGCTTATCTGGGTATTTCTTAATCATTAAGATATGATAACCCGATTGAACCACAATGCAATGTCGGGTGCTGAGTGTAGGTAGTCATCAAGGACTTACCCGGAACCATCAATTCCCAATTTAGCCTATCAGATAGAAGGTGTAATTACAACTTACTATCACTGTACATGATCGCTGTTGACCGCTGATAATTTCATGCAAACAAACAGGGGACACATTGGTGCATCAAAAGGAAGAATGTGATATAGAACGAAAAGTTTATCATCTACACGTCAGAAATGTGTTCATCAGTCAGTAAGGCCGTCTGCATGAATATATTTTTCATCTGTACTAGTACTTTGATGTGCAGGCAGCAGGCTTCAATATGTGCTCAGTTTTGTTCCTCTGAAATTTGCATACTATTTTTTTCACACTAAATTCCATTTTTTCACACTAAATTCCAAACAACACTGAACTATTTCACCTATATGGGTGAACATGGAGAATTGCACGTTAGTATCATTAGTCCGCGAATGTTTTTCCACTCTAACCTCTAACGTCAAAAAGCGTGCATTGTAGTTGTATCTATGTATGTACAATTACAATAAATCCTCCGGTACTTACCACCTGACGCGCCTTTCCGGCGGTGAGTCCCGAGGTTCCCGGCATCTTCAATGTTATTCAACCTTCTAATGTCCTCCGATATCAAACGCAAGCTGCCGCTCCCCCGGTCCGACTTGCAGTAAATATGATAATTTGGTATAAAACGGATGACCGATCTTCCGTTGACCTGAAGCTGCCAATATCCCAGCACCAAGTGCAGTTGTTCTCTTGCTGTCTCCCAACAGCTGATACTTGCTGACCCGCAGCTCCTGCTGTCTTGTTAGCAGTTCCAACTATCCCCTCTGCTCCTCAAATCCTTTGTGAACCTTCTAAGCACCGCGTGGGCAGCCTCCAATCGGTAGCGATGCCAGAGCTGCGTCTCGTGCGCCGCCTAGAACTGAAATGTTCGCTGCACGCTACCTCAGCGCCGCGAAGCCTATAGCCACGCTTCAGACCGAAACGACGGCAAAACGGAGGGCATTGCGGAAATTCGGCCCTTCTTGCATGGCGTCTGAGCCAGGTGAGTCACTGATGGTGGCCTGGGAACGGCCGGACCACGGGCAACAAGGGCACAAGTCGGCGACGGCTCGCCGAGCGGAGGGATTTGGTTGGTAGAGTTGGGGCGGGAAGAGGGGTGAGTTTTGTCGGGTTTGTGGGGGTTATTAGTTGCGCTGGTGACAGATTGAAGCAGGGGCGGATCCAGGAAAACTCCAAGGGGAGGGTCATGAATCGTAGTGGTGCCCCTACCTATACCCAAAATTAAAAACTCAACGGATTTCGTCCACTTAATTTTGGTGGTGCCCCCATTTTCAGTTTTTTATTTTTTTTTTAGTCAGTATCTTACCTCTTACCCACAACCACATTTACCAATTGTAAGCAAGTATATATGAATGTGTTATGTGTATATATGTTGTGGACGCTGAGTAGTGAGTACTTACCAGGAACGTTATCAGGTAAGCGAATCGTTGTCAGTCCGACGAACTTGACCCTGGCGTCTAAAGGGTCTGTCCTTGACACTTCAGGCTTGTCAGGGGCACCAGTCCTTCCAGGGACACCACAAACCTGTCAGGGGCACCTACGGCCTTGTAGGGGCGCCACAGGCCCGCCAGGAAGCAGGGGCACCACACGCCTGCCAGGAAGCAGGGGCACCACAGGTCTAGCAAGTATACACGACAGGCCTGTCAGGGGCACAACGGGCCTGTTGGGCCCATGAGCACCCCTAGGGGCAGGGGCACCACAGTCCTTCCAGGGGCACCGCAGGCCTGTGAGGGGCACCAGCGGCCTAGCAGGGGCACCAGTCAACACAGGCCTGCCAGGGGGGCACCACAGACCTGCCAGGGGCACCAGAGGCCTGTCAGGAGCACCACCGACCTCGCAGGGGTAACTTGGGCCTGTCAGGGGCACCACGGGTCTGTCGAGAGGCACTTCAGGCTTTTCAGGGGCACCATAGTCCTCTCCGGGCGCAGGGGTAGCAGGGGCATCAGAGGCCTGCCAGGGGCACTACAGGCCTAGCAAGGGCACCACTGTTCTATCAGGGGCACCACGAGCCTGTCATAGCCAGGCATCTCAGGCTTGTCAAGGCCCAGGGGCACCACAGGTCTGTGAGGGGCACCAGCGACCTAGCAGGGGCACCAGTCAACACAGGTCTGCCAGGGGCGCCACAGACCTGCCAGGGGCACCACAGACCTGCCAGGGGCACCAGAGGCCTGCCAGGGGCACCACAGGCCTAACAAGGGCACCACGGGCCTGTCAGGGGCACCTCAGGCTTGTCAGGGCCCAGGGACACCACAGTCCTTCCAAGGGCACCGCAAGCCTGCCAGGGGCACCACAGTCCTTCCAGGGGCATTACAAGCCTGTCAGGGGCACCAGAGGCCTAGCAAGGGCACCACAGGCCTGCCATGGACACCACAGGCCTGCCAGGGGCACCACCGGCCTTGCAGGGGCGCCTCAGGCCTGTCAGGGGCACCACGTGCCTGCCGGGGACACTTCAGGCTTGTCAGGGGCGTTACAGTCCTGTCAGGGCCCAGGGGCACCAGGCCCGTGGTGTCCCTGCTAGGCCTGTGGTGCCCCTGGCGGTCCTGTGGTGCCCCTGTCAGGACTGTGATACCCCTGATAGGCCGGTGGTGCCCCTGGCAGGTCTTTGGGCCCCGGGCCTCAAGGGGGGGGCCATGACCCATGTGACCCCCCCTTGGATCCGCCCCTGGATTGAAGGCAGACAGTGTGACAGGTTTGTCACGGTGCTCGGTGGCTGGTAGATCACGTGACAGCGGGGCACTGAACCCGTGGTTAGAGGAACAGGCTGAGAAAGATCACAGAAAGAAAGAAAGATCAAAGAAAGATGCTAAAATGAGCTCACGCGAGCTGAGAGGAAATGTCCAGTGAAGGTGTGTGACAGTCAATCTGAATCAATATCGAAGTCAACCTTCAAAGAACTCGAATAATCAAAGTTTGCATTTGCTAGAAAGGTGCTTTCTCACCATTCACGAAACTATTGCTTCAAACTTCAAAGCCTTTCCATAATGTTACGATTATCATATTTCTGTTATCGATATGCTTCGAATTAAGTAAAGCTTGGCCCAGAAAAGCCCAAAATGAAAAATTAACCATGCTCAAGGTCATCATGAGCCATGACATGACCGTAAAAAGGTCATGCTGCATAACAGCAGTCGACGACTGGTACCTATATTGTTCAGCAGAACCTACATGTGGTCTTTTCGTTGCGCTAGCATGTCTTAATCAAAAATCATAATTCATATTCCAATATCTTACTTACATTGCCATTGACCTAAATGACCTAGCATGACCTGCCGGGTGATCGCTGGCCATCAGCTGTACTTTGTCCATTTTGTATGGGTAGCTAGGGCCGAGGGCGGTTCATACATATCGTTACGGAGCGAGCGAAGCGAGCGTAGTCTTCCGTCGGAAAGACACCCACTAGGCAATGCATATCCATGTGCCACAGTTGGGGTGCTGCTGCACGTGCGCACATGCAGGGGTCGATTCCAGATCTCGAGAACGGCTGAACCGATTGCGCTGAAATTTGGTACATGGTTAGGGAGTAGGGACCGATTAGTAGGGTGCCGTGAAAAAGTCAGTTGGCACCCATTTTGCACGTCCGCACGTGCAGGGTGCCGCTTCCAGATCTCGAAAACGGCTAGGCCGATTGCGCTCAAATTTGGCACATCGCTAGGGACCGGTTAGTGGGGTGCAGTGCACAAGTTTTTGGAGGCTTCCCCTCGCAATCCCGCACGTGCAAGGCCCATCCACTCTCGCTCTTTCCGTTGGTCGCCCCAAAAGGCGTTTTACTGGTACTAGTGTTTAGTTCCTTCATAAAATTCATCTCAATTAAAAAAATTAAAATACAAGTATATAGATGGCGACAACAAAAGCAGACTAATTAACAACCCTTTCCACAAATCTAAGACATATAAACCACACATAACCTCACTATCCTTCACTCCAGGGAACAGACAGATGTTCAGATTCTCCCAAAAAGAGGGATTTATGCATGTCCCTACAATGACAGCTGGTAAGTAAACAATATTTGCAACATAGACAACATATTTACGAGGCCGACTCGTACGCGACCCGTTTAAGGCCACACCCAGCCCCTCCCTTTCATTGTTCCAAAGAGCAGACAGGTAGGTATGTCCCGTCGCCATCAGCTGCACAACTGAAGCACGTCGCCCCCCGGAAAGACGAGGAACTGAGGCGCAGCAAAGGAACTGAGACGGAACGATAGGAACTGAGACGGAACGATAGGAACTGAGACGGAACGGGGCGCGCCGGAACGGAACAGCAGCGTGACGTCACCGGTGAACTGATGACCGCGCCGATAGCGGCTGGACTGGAAGGGGGAGGGGGGGGGGGGTGAACGGGGGGACTAGAGGAGGGAGTGAATTGAAGGCTGAACTGGAAGGGGGAGTGAACTAAAGGTTGAACTGGGGGGGGATGTAATGGAGGGTAAACTGGGGGGAAGGGGCTGACCTGGAGAAAGGAGAGTGGGTGAACTGAAGGTGAAGTAGGGGGTTAACTGGGGAGGTGAACTGGAGGGTAAATTGGGCCCTGGAGATGAACTGGAGTGTGCACTGGAAGAGCTGCACTGTTGGAGCCGGAGGCCTGCATGTTGGGGAAGGTGAAATGGAACCGTCTCCACTGATCGCTTACCGGCATGATGGCTCTCCGAATTCTGACAGGCCGAGTCGGGCTGTTCTCGTGCGCTGATCCTGCTAATCCCTTTGATCCGCTGAGCTCTCAGTTTTTTCTGATGAGCTGATCCGCCGGTCCGCTTGCCTTCTCGATAAGCGGCTGATCCTCGATTTTGCTGGTTTGCCGAGCTTGTAACTAATTACCGCTAATCGTGTGTATATCACTGACTTTTCTAGGGTCGTAGTAAGCTTCTCTAGCTAGTTAGTTAGCTTAGCTAGTTAGCTAGTTGGCTCTAGTTTGTGAGCTTAGTTAATAGTTAGCTTCTGCCTAGCTTTATGATTCAATATTTACGACACGTTTGGGTACCGAACCGAAGCTGTTGTTCAGCTAACGCACCGCACAGAACACTTGCCGTAACCTGAACCACCCTCACCAGCCCAAAGCCACCAACAGAGTCGTCGGAGACTGACGCGTCGGAACCGACAGTCTCCTCCGACGCGACTCGGGCGGTTCAGGAGGGGGAGGGGGTACGGCGACAGAGGCGGCACCAGTGGACTGCCGAGAGGAGGCGCAGAGAGGAGCCGGGATGAAGAGGGTTTTATGAAAGGCGATGGACTGAAATTCTCTCTTTCAACTACAGATAAGACCCTTGCCTCGCCTCTGTCAAGTTTCATTCCCTCCCCCTCGGACCCGACCCTTAATCTGCCTCTGCCAGCCTCCCTTGATCCGCCCCTGTCAGCCTCCCTTAGACCCAACCCTTGCTCCGCCTCTGCTCAGCACAGGTGGCGAGCGCGACGGGAACTCTACGACAGCAGACACCTGTTGTGATGGACTCCTCCGCGCTCCCTCAGTCCCGGCTGAGGCTGCATCAGGTGTTTTTAGACGTCGCATTGTCCACGGTCCATAAAATTGTGCTTACTTCGTTGACATATGTGAGATACACTTTAACCCGCGCCCTGCTGGGGGGGGGGTGTTTGAACACCCCCCCTGTGGTTTTTCGCGAATATCTCAAAAACGGCGGCGCGGAGCGCCGCCGTTTTTGGTACACCTTATCATACATCAATTCTACACATGTTGTGAAAATTTCAGACCAAGGTCATTCAAGGTCAGGTCACCAGGTCACTTGAAGTGACCTCACCTCATAAAAACTTTCAATGTCTGTCATAGCTACACCGAGTGACCGATCGCTTTGAAACTTTCAGCGATTGCTAAGAGCAATAGCATGTACAAAATGTATATCTCAGAATTTTGATATCGATGACCTAAGGTCAGGTCAATTTTGCGACCTCCCCATTATAAGTCAATGGGAGAAAATTGAAATGCGCCTCTTTTGGATGAAAGACGTTATAAACACTCCCAAACACCGAATTACAAGTGGTTTAGACACACTGAACTTGAAAATGGTGTCCGTGACCCTTGTTTATGCCCTGAGGTCATCTTAGGTCACGAATGGTATCTAACAGTTTTTCGCAAATAACTTTTGATAGAGGCATGCTAGAGCGATGAAAACGCCTTAGATGTGTTCAGCTCGACGATACGGATCTACTGATATGCAACATGACCCTTTCCGGTCAGGTCATGACCTTGACCTGAGGTCAAATTTTCAAGTTGACCTTTCAAGGTCAAGTTATAGTTCATTCGATGCGTCTTGACGAGAGGAACACGATGCCGGTAAAAGTAAGCTCGTACAATGCTTGGGTCAAAAGTTATTGCAGAAAAACTGTTTTCGAAAAAATCGGCTATTTTTGCAGTTTTTGCCCCCTGCAGGCAAAACCGTTGACGTTAGGTCAAATCTGAGAGAATTACTCAGAAAGGGCGTTAATAGGGCTATCGAATGCGCTTTTCCGCGGCGCTGTAGCTCTATTGGTTCCCGAGTTATACGTTGGCTTCTTGGAAATTTTCGACATTTGACCTGGAAATCGGCGAAATTTTGCCTTCAATGACCTCTGGTGACCTGACGTTTGACCTGACCAAAAAATTGACCGAAGTGATTTCGTCATTATTTTTTACGCTCTTTCGAACGCCGCCTGCCGCGTATCGCTACGTGGCCCAGGAGCCGAGTTACAAGGGGGGGTGTTCAAACACCCCCCCCCAGCAGGGCGTGGAAACCCCCAGCAGGGCGCGGGTTAACCCGCGCCCTGCTGGGGGGGGGGGGTGTTTGAACACCCCCCCTTGTGGTTTTTCGCAAATATCTCAAAAACGGCGGCGCGCAGCGCCGCCGTTTTTAGTACACCTTATCATACATCAATTCTACACATGTTCTGAAAATTTCAGCCCAAGGTCATTCAAGGTCAGGTCACCAGGTCACTTGAAGTGACCTCACCTCATAAAAAGTTTCAATGTCTGTCATAGCTACACCGAGTGACCGATCGCTTTGAAACTTTCAGCGATTGCTTAGAGCAATAGCATCTACAAAATGTATATCTCAGAATTTTGATATCGATGACCTAAGGTCAGGTCAATTTTGCGACCTCCCCATTATAAGTCAATGGGAGAAAATTGAAATGCGCCTCTTTTGGACGAAAGACATTATAAACACTCCCAAACACTGAATTACAAGTGGTTTAGACACACTGAACATGAAAATGGTGTCCGTGACCCCTGTTTATGCCCTGAGGTCATCTTAGGTCACGAATGGTATCTAACAGTTTTTCGAAAATAACTTTTGATAGAGGCATGCTAGAGCGATGAAAACGCCTTAGATGTGTTCAGCTCGACGATACGGATCGACTGATATGCAACATGACCCTTTCCGGTCAGGTCATGACCTTGACCTGAGGTCAAATTTTTAAGTTGACCTTTCAAGGTCAAGTTATAGTTCATTCGATGCGTCTTGACGAGAGGAACACGATGCCGGTAAAAGTAAGCTCGTACAATGCTTGGGTCAAAAGTTATTGCCGAAAAACTGTTTCCGAAAAAATCGGCTATTTTTGCAGTTTTTGCCCCCTGCAGGCAAAACCGTTGACGTTAGGTCAAATCTGAGAAAATTACTCAGAAAGGGCGTTAACCCGCGCCCTGCTGGGGGGGGGGGTGTTTGAACACCCCCCCCCCCTGTGGTTTTTCGCGGATATCTCAAAAACGGCGGCGCGGAGCGCCGCCGTTTTTGGTACACCTTATCATACATCAATTCTACACATGTTGTTAAAATATTTCAGACCAAGGTCATTCAAGGTCAGGTCACCAGATCACTTGAAGTGACCTCACCTCATAAAAAGTTTCAATGTCTGCCATAGCTACACCGAGTGACCGATCGCTTTGAAACTTTCAGCGATTACTAAGAGCAATAGCATGTACAAAATGTATATCTCAGAATTTTGATATCGATGACCTAAGGTCAGGTCAATTTTGCGACCTCCCCATTATAAGTCAATGGGAGAAAATTGAAATGCGCCTCTTTTGGACGAAAAGCATTATAAACACTCCCAAACACTGAATTACAAGTGGTTTAGACACACTGAACATGAAAATGGTGTCCGTGACCCCTGGTTATGCCCCTGAGGTCATCTTAGGTCACGAATGGTATCTAACAGTTTTTCGCAAATAACTTTTGATAGAGGCATGCTAGAGCGATGAAAACACCTTAGATGTGTTCAGCTCGACGATACGGATCGACTGATATGCAACATGACCCTTTCCGGTCAGGTCATGACCTTGACCTGAGGTCAAATTTTCAAGTTGACTTTTCAAGGTCAAGTTATAGTTCATTCGATGCGTCTTGACGAGAGAAACACGATGCCGGTAAAAGTAAGCTCGTACAAGGTTTGGGTCAAAAGTTATTGCAGAAAAACTGTTTCCGAAAAAATCGGCTATTTTTGCAGTTTTTGCCCCCTGCAGGCAAAACCGTTGACGCTAGGTCAAATCTGAGAGAATTACTCAGAAAGAGCGCTAATAGGGCTATCGAATGCGCTTTTCCGCAGCGCTGTAGCTCTATTGGTTCCCGAGTTATGCGTTGGCTTCTTGGAAATTGTCGACATTCGACCTGGAAATCGGCGAAATTTCGCCTTCAATGACCTCTGGTGACCTGACCTTTGACCTGACCAAAAAATTGACCGAAGTAATTTCGTCATTATTTTTTATGCTCTTTCGAACGCCGCCTTCCGCGTATCGCTACGTGGCCCAGGAGCCGAGTTAGAAGGGGGGGTGTTTGAACACCCCCCCCCCCCCAGCAGGGCGTGGAAATCCAGGACCCCCAGCAGGGCGCGGGTTAATAGGGCTATCGAATGCGCTTTTCCGCGGCGCTGTAGCTCTATTGGTTCCCGAGTTATGCGTTGGCTTCTTGGAAATTTTCGACATTCGACCCGGAAATCGGCGAAATTTTGCCTTCAATGACCTCTGGTGACCTGACCTTTGACCTGACCAAAAAATTGACCGAAGTAATTTCCTCATTATTTTTGACGCTCTTTCGAACGCCGCCTTCCGCGTATCGCTACGTGGCCCAGGAGCCGAGTTAGAAGGGGGGGGGGTGTTCAAACACACCCCCCCCCCCCAGCAGGGCGTGGAAATCCAGGACCCCCAGCCGGGCGCGGGTTAACCCTCGCCCGCACATGGGGGGGGGGGTTGCCACCCCCCCCAGGTAGTCTTTCTGCTCTGCACTCAACATTTTTAAAGCTAGAAGGCTGATTTTTCGTATAGTTGCTCCTCTATCCTTTCTTGATGTCCACTGAAAATTTCAAGTTTCTGTGATTTTTGGTTTCGGAGATATGACCTTGTTTTTCAGGTCATGTCATGACCCAAATGGCCAATTCTCAACATCTTGCGCTTGCCATGGGCCTTGTAAGCTTTTGACACCCTGATTTCGGCCTTTTTTGCCAGTCTTACCTCCCACCTATCATGGAACATGCTGTTCGACGACGTACAGGGGTCAAGGTCAGGGTCAAGGTCAACCTAGGTCATCTAAGATAATTGCGTTTTAGGCAAGCTGAATTTACTTTTTGTGAAGTTTTTTGACTGCATTTTTGGTAAAAGCTTCTCAGATCATGATTTCATGTAATATGGATCCAAAAACAATCGGTGCACACATCAGTATACACACAGACACACACAGACATACAAACACATATAATTGACCTTGACCTAACTTGACCTGAAATGACCTCAACAGCAAAATTCTGGTCGGGTAGTGTGACAAAGAGGTTCTAGCTGGCTTGGCACCAGAAAACAGCATCGTCATCGGTATTTGATAAGCAGCGCACTTGATATCCAACGGTGACCCAAAACAGCAATATTTTTTAGTTTGACCTGACCTGGAAGGTCAATGACTGACCTGAGAAGGTAAAACTGGGTATCATTGGATTCGTCTCTTCCCAAAGAATCTTTTTGGTCTTTACTGCTAAGCTCTATCTCCAACAGGAACGAAATGGCGCGGGGGGGGGGGGTGGCAACCACCCCCCCCCATGTGCGTTCTAGGATGGGAAAATGGCATGTGCGGGCGAGGGTTAAAAAGGACGGTTGATCAGGTTTAGATGACCTGAGGTCATTTGTTGACCTGAAACAAACCATATTATATTCTTTATAAAAGCGTATGAAGGCATTGTTGGTCGAGACTGAACCGAGCTGCTATCGACCGTCCTGACATCTATTTTGTTCTTAGCTGCGGCGACATCTGTGTCATGTCTAGTGTTTATTAGCAACACTTTCGGTATATTTTCATTCTAAAGCGAAATGAATTGCAAAAGTTGAATTTCTTTCGATTAATCTAAATATTGTTTTTGCTTTTAGATGATTGAGGATCAGTTACGTGAATTCATATTGCAATATTGCTTATTTGAAAAGTTTTTGCAGCATTTTACTTAGCACTGCAGCCTGCACTTCCAAATTTGCTTTCTGCGACCTTGAAAAGTTTCTGATTGTGGCGCAGGCAGGGGGATGTCGTCCCGGTTTTCCCCATGTATTATTCGCCAATCAGCTCAACACTACCAGTGACGTCATTGGTGGATCGCCAATCGGGGCCGAAGGCCAAACGCAGACGTTTTCAGAAAAGCGTAAGCCGTATAGATAGAGTCGTGGATGGAGTTTTGCTGTAATTCGGCTCTCCAAGAGTGCGTCAGGGTACCAGGGGCAGGACCCGGATAAAGGTCATAGAGATAGATAGATAGATAGATAGATAAGCTTTATTTCAGACTCTGGGTCCATACTCTTAAATACTGATGATTTCAGTCAGTGCAGTGGCAAGACAACCAAATGTCACACAAACAATCATTCGGGCCTGTTTCAGCACTCGCGCAGAGCTATGTGCTAAAATGAACGTACAGTTGCTGTTGCCAGTGGCGCCTCAGGCGAGAACGGTATTTCACACTCGAATTTTCAGTCTTTTTAACCAGCTCACTATCACATGTACTCAGCCTGCACATGAAGTTATAGATGCGCTGTCTGATGAGAACGGCACAATGAGGAACACGGTGCACGACACATGTGTGAGAAGAACTCTCGTACCTAGAAATGCCTAGCATAGTTTTCAATACCGTATGGTAAGCCACCATCAGCCGGCGCAACATACACTGGCGATAATTTGACCACAAGTGTGCAGTGTACATAGATGAACAAAACGCTGTAAAGAGACGCGCCTTTGCTGCTACCGAGCACATGTGAAAACGACGAATCAGCACATTCCCCTGTTTGTACATTTGTTTACACTGCCGATCTATGTCAAGGTCATCTGAGTAAGCATGATTACTGATGATATGCCCTAAGTACTTTACATGATCAACCTCCTTTAGAGGAACACCTTCAATGAACAGCCTTGGCAATATCAAATCTTTCATGTGTTTAGAGCGACAAGCCAGTACAACACTTTTCTTTGCATTGTACAAAATATTGCAAGTTTTTCCGAATTCTCCACACAATGAAATCAATTTGCTCAACCCTGCAACCGACGGTGATAACAATACCACATCATCTGCGTACATCAGATGATTGATTTTCGCATCCCCTACCCAGCAACCTACATTCTGTCTATTTAACAAAGAACTCAGACCGTCCATATACACATTGAACAGATATGGGGACAATATGCCACCCTGCCTAACACCGTTCGATACCCTAAATTTAAAGGAAATGGCACCACCCCACCGGACACACATTTCCTGACGGGCGTACCAGTACACGAGTACACGAACAATGTATATTGGGACTGCTCTGTCTCGAAGAATGTCGAAAAGCCTTTTATGCTGTACACGATCGAATGCCTTGCTTGAATCCAAGAAACACATAAATACACTGCCATTCATGGACTTGTACAGATCAATAGACTGTTTCAGGAGGTATATGCACTGGTCAGTTCCCATTCCCTTTTTGAAGCCAAACTGATTGGAGGCTGTCAACAGGTGGTCCTCCATCCGTTCCAAAAGGATTAGTTCTAGCGCTTTACTCATTACGCTAGCTAGCGCAACAGGTCGGTAGTTATCTTTTGCAGTGACCTTACCAGCTTTATCCTTGATAATCGGCACCAGGACCACCGCCATCATTGATTCTGGGAGAATGCCATGCATAAGTAGTGCTGTGAAGCAAGCGGATAACTTTGACGATAAACTTTTCCCCGCATATTTCAAGTTTTCGGCCTGTAAACCATCAATCCCACTAGCTTTCCCACACTTCATTTTTTGGACAGCATCCAGAATCTCGCCTTCGGACACTCTGATATCACCTACAGACGATTCCCTGTCCTCTTCCCAGAGCGTACCATCTGATGACGGCATCGAATTGAGAAGGCTGGAGAAATGTTTCCCCCAAAAGTCAGCAATCTCACCCTCACCACACACACCGTCAATCACTGATGGTAGGGGAGTACTACTGTTACTCAGCGATCTTATTTCTTTCCAAAAAGATTTACAGTCATTGTCACATAACTTTTTGGCGATGGCTTCACGTCTCAGAACACTTTCATTTTTCTTAACAAAACGAATGGCATACTTACACCTGGCCCTGCCTCTGCTGTAGGCATCAAACACTGGACCATGCTTAGGTTTCCCTGCTTCTTGCCAAAGTCGATACAGGTCTTTCGATTCTTTGTACAGGTCAGAAACATAGTAATTCCATCCAGGGACACATTTGAACATTTGAGACACATTTGTCATAGTGAACCGGCATCTGATAAAATCCGCTCACGGCTTAGCAGCCGACTTCGACCGTTCGCCCTCGTAAAGCACAAAAGCTTACCGGTCATCAATCCACCTGCATCTCCTCATCTGCTTATTGCCTATATCGACCAGTTACTGCAGCCGTTTTGGAGCGGCTCACGGCCGATAACACGCCGGGCGTGCGCTAGCCGCCGGTGCTAAGCGCTAACCATTGAGTGCGCGTGGCCGACTGATGGCGCTGACCCCCGGAACCGACAACGGCGCGCCGCCGCTGACCCATGGGGGGGGGGGGGAGGCTGCTAATTAGTTGAGCCGGAATTGGGATAGAAGTCGGTAAGGGATTGGGATAGCAACTCAGCGAGACTAAGGGATTGTGTTGTGCCTTCGGTAGGCCCCCAAAATCACCGGTGTAGTGCCCTCGGGCCGCCAGTTATGAAGCCTTTGGAGGCACTGGTGTGGGCACTCACAGGTAGGTACCGGTGTGAGGCCCTCAGAGGCATTGGTGCGGGGCCCCGAGGTGTCGCTGTAGGCCCTCTGAGGTGCTAGTGTGTGGCCCTCAGAGGCGCCGGTGAGGGTCCTCACAGTTGCCATTGTGGGCCCTCAGAGACACTGCAGTGTGGGGTCATCACAGTCGGGTGTGGGACCCTTAGAGCTGCTGGCTCGAACCCTTTATAAGCCGACAGGGGCTCTCAGAGACCGACAAAGGGCCCTCAAGAGGTCTGCGGTGTCTTCAGGAGCCCTGTGGAGTCCTCAGAGACCAGCAAGGTACTCTCAGAAGCCGGTGGGGGCCCTCAGAGTCGTCGGTGTGGGGCCCTCAAAAGTCACCGGTGAGTGGCCACTGGCCGTCCGATGCGAAGGTCCCGTCTGGGGCCGTCAGAGGCTCCGGCGTTCAGCCCTCAGAGCCGCCGATGAATATATGGCCAAGAAGCACTGGTTTGGGCCTTTGGGACTTCATTCAGGGGTGCCGGTTGAACTCAGAGGTGGCAGTGTGGGGCCCTCAGCTGGGCACCGGTTTGGGGCTTTCACAGCTGCCGGTGAGGGCCCTCGCAGGCGCCGTTGTGGGGGCCTTCAACCATTGGTTTAGGGGGTCATCACAGGCGTGTTTGGAACCCTTAGAGCTGCTGGTCCCTGATAGGCCGGTAAGGGCCCTCAGAGGTCGCCAATGGGCCCTGAGAGGCCGGCAAGGGGCCCTCAAATGCCGACAAGGGACAATAAAAAGCCGGTGTGAGACTTTATGGAGAGAAGTGTGGCTATTCGGAGCACATAAGGTGTTCTTTCGAGCCCTGTGGGGCCCAATTCTGAGTCGAAAATGCCAGCGTGGACCCTCAGCCGCCAATTGGCGTCGCAGGGCCCCTCAGGCCCGAGAGGCCCCCTGATCCGATGGGGGCACGTGCACCCTGCCCCCCTCCGGGTGCAGATAGAGAATGCAATCGGCGGTGCGAGACAAAAATTGCAATCGTTCCTTCTCCCGTCGCGAGGTCGCCCATCCGACCCATATCCCAAGATTGTCAACCCTGGGGCTCGGGTCGGCAATGTATCGGCAAGGAAATCAGCGGTGGGTAAAAAAGTTATTAAGAGTCATTCGTTGTCGTTACGTTCAGTAATAACAACGATAAAGTGCCACATGTACCCGACATACGGCTTGGAGCCGGGCGCCGCGCGGTCTCCACCAGTGACGTCACGCTAATGTTTAGCGACCGGTCCATTGGAAATCGCCGGATGATTCTACCTCTCTTATACGGCCTTGGGCGCAGGGGGAAATTACCGATTTACAAATTTTTCCTGTGTTGTTTTTCGCTCATTTATGCAGAATAAGTGACTAAGTAGCATCTTCCGGAATTAAAAAGGGACCGAATATTTCTTGTTTTATGTTATCTCTTGCTGCTCGACCGGCGCTGACCTTGAGAGTTTGTATACGGACAGCGGCTATCGCTTCATTCAAGCCACAGCTCTCGACGATGGCGGGTGGAAAGCGTGTTACGGTGGTGGGCTCCGGCAACTGGGGCTCAGCCATTGCCAAAATTATAGGAAGCAATGTGACGAAATTCGACCAGTTTCAAGATGAGGTCAAGATGTGGGTTTTCGAGGAGATGGTTGAGGGTAAGAAGCTCACTGAAATCATCAATACAACCCATGTGAACGTCAAGTATCTTCCAGACCACAAGCTGCCAGAAAATGTTGTTGCCGTTCCTGACCTGGTTGAAGCAGCGAAGGATGCTGACATTCTGGTGTTTGTTGTGCCACATCAGTTCCTGCACAGAACACTGAAAACTCTGGAGGGAAAAGTGAAGCCAGATGTAATTGGATTGTCGTTGATCAAGGGATTCCACTTGAAACCAGAGGGTGGAATAGAGCTCCTGTCTCATATCATTGAGGACATTTTGAAAATCAAGTGTAGTGTGCTCATGGGTGCCAATCTTGCTCCTGAAGTTGCTGCCGAGAAGTTCTGTGAGACAACCATTGGCTGCCGAAGCCCTGGCAATGAACAAATGCTCAAGGACCTGATCCAAACCAGCTACTTCCGTGTCATGGTGGTGTCTGATGCCAATGCTGTTGAGCTCTGTGGTGCCCTGAAGAACATTGTGGCCTGTGGTGCTGGCTTTGTGGATGGCCTCGGTTATGGTAACAACACCAAGGCGGCAGTGATCCGGCTGGGACTGATGGAGATGATCAAGTTTGCCGAAGTGTTCTACCCCGGCTCTCTGCTAGCCACGTTCTTTGAGAGCTGTGGCGTTGCTGACCTGACCACCACCTGCTATGGTGGCAGGAACCGCCGAATCTCTGAGGCCTTTGTGAAGACAGGGAAGACAATCGAGGTTCTGGAGAAGGAGATGCTGAACGGCCAGTGCGCCCAGGGCCCGGAGACGGCCCGGGAGGTCTACGTCATGTTGGAGAGGGAGAAGAGCCTGGAGAAGTTCCCGCTGTTCGTGGCCATCCACAGAATATGCATCGGCGAGCTGCCGCCGACCGGGATGATCGACTGCATCAGGGAGCACCCCGAGCACCTGTAAGCCAACAGAGCCTGCGCGAGCGCAGCGCCGCCTATAGCTAGAGAGGCAGCTCTCTGCTGCCATCACTGCCTGCTTCTGCCTGTGTTGACTAGCGTGTTGTCCCATTTTGCTAACTGCTGCATGCTTAGAAGGCCAGTCTTAGTCTAGTTTTTAGGGGTCTTGTGATGGCATGAGTGATGCTACTTCATATGCCATCATACTGGGATTTTGTGAGTCCTTTTTTGTGTGATTATGGGTTCCATGAATGTTGGTTTGTGCATCCAAATACCTACTCTAAGTATTGCTACTGAAATGAAGCTATTTTGGCATACTTTTCTGATACATATAGTCATATACTGCACATCTACGTTAAAATTTTCGAATTGTGTGACTCAATTCTAAATTTGTATTGATAGTCAAAATTCTACCCACATCTAAGAAATCTATGCAAATAAGCACATCTTTTTTTTAACAATGGCTGTATGCCTTAGTCATATCAGAGATGTTTGTGTTTAAGGATGAATGCCTTCTCTTGGAGTTTTCAATTTTTTTCTAGTAAGTGTGGCATCAGGGACCATACCATTGCCTTGTATAACATTTATATTGATGCCATATATTCACATAGGTTACCAACTTTGACTAACATCAGTGTTTTGGTTGAGCATGAGCGTAGGTCATGTTTAAAATAAATGACATATGGAAATTCGTTGCATCATAGACCACTACATAGTACATACCTATGATTGCGTGCATTTTGAAGGACCGAACCATTTTGTTTGTCAGTGTGCGATGCGGGACGTGGGTTGACCCTAAGACATTTGACCAAGTCATGTGACCTCATCGTGTTGCTACCACTGAAAGCCTGAACGTTGCGCGAAACCTTCGGCCGTCAGTTCGATTACTGTTCATGTCTGCTCACCAGAAATGTATTAAGTTGACGCTGCTCATCCGAATTATGTCCCTACTCTGACACAAATGGCGCTAAGCTAGCTAGGTAGGTAGTGACGGTAATTAGCTTTGTCAGGTGATACCCAATATGTGTCCCGGTTCGGTGGGTATCACTGTGTTGTTAGCTACCTGGCAGTAATTGGCTCACTTCTGTCAACATGGGCTCACGGAAATTAGTAGCGGTCCGTTGACCGAAAGATAAATGGGTATCTGACTAGAGGCCGCCTTTGGAACTTAGAAGTGTCCTTTCTATTTGAAAGAATGTAAGAAGTAGCTTTTCTGTTGTTTGATACGCGTACCTGATTACTTGTCCTGCTCAGTGCTCAAATACCTCGCTAGCCTGACCGATGCGGATCGAAGGGGAGCGAGGGCTACGCCACGAGTAGGAGGGCGGTCACTGTTGCTACCTCCATTGCCGCAAGTTATAGACATTGCATAGTTACACAGATTGATCTATGGTTACCAGTGTGCGCCGGTGGCGCAGGGGCGAGCCGCTACCATGTGGCTACAATCACTTTCTCCTCATTTGAATTGTTAATTAGAGCTGAGAGACGGAGATTTATAGATACAACAGCGTGTGGTTCTGGCTAGTGTAGGCACGAAAACGCTTCAGTAACTATAGAGATACTCACTTAGAAGGCGATGTCTAGTGTCTAGGTTTTAGACCATCCTTTACAACCAATTGTTAAAAGGTTAATTCCATCAGTTGATTATTCAATTTACCGTTGAGTTTGCGATACACTCGGCGGCATGATATGTCATTTCACGCCCGGCTTTTGCACCCCTCAGTAGCCATTGCTCTACTACAGTGACCCAGATCAGCGCTGACGGTTCCTGGTTAGCTCTGACGTTCGCCACTGCTTTCTGTCGTTAGCCGTGGACAGGATTGGATGAAGCGGAGTTAGCTGTGATGACAGCAAGCAGGGCTCCCTTGCGTTCGCACCCCGGCGTCGCTATATCTGCTGTCAGTTTCAGTAAATATCCTACGGTGTGCACTGTGCAGTGAAACCTTCCCAACTGACAGTGACAGTAGATCCCCTCTGGTGTGCCGTGAAACTACGCTGCCCCTGTGCAGTCTGTGCGGTTTGATGTGATGTGGAATCTCCCATTGCCCCTTTCAGTAACTAACTATCCACCCTTTGATGTGCGGTGAATCTACCCTACAATAACCCTTTGTCAATAGATATCAGTCCATCTCTCGCGTTTGCAGATGCCCTTATTTTTGATGTGCCGTGAAACCACCCTACGAATACCCTCTGTTAGCCACATTAACAATTGACTGTAAATGCGGCCTCCAGGTGGAGTGCGTCTTCCTGTCACTTATCAAGAACAAACCACTCCTCGGAGTGCAGTTATATTACCCTTGTGTTGCCCTACGTTCTAATCAGAAAAAATCAATTGCTGTGCAGTGAAAGAAGTAACCGCGTCCCCCTGTGCTCTGTTGGTCTGGAAAACTACGCCCCAGTCTGCAGTAAAATTGCATTACATATTGTCAGTCCTTACACATACCCTTTGGTGTGCAGTGAAGCTACCCTGCTTGCATTTCCCGCATTGCTGTCAGCCCGAGACCGTTGGTAGAAAAACGGAACGGTTATCACAATTTTCAACAAGTTCACACCCGTAGACAATATGCACGCTCAAAAGATAGTTATTCCCAAGTCGTCCACTTTTTAGAAAGGCACGCGTATCATCCCAATCGAGTGAGTCGACAGTTTTGAAGCGCCTGGCTTCACCCATAGTCCTGTTAGTCATCTGATAGACCCATAGACCCACACTGCCTGTAATCGGGTCTTTTTTGTTTCCAACCGTCGTTGCTTGCCCCGAGGATTTATTCCTGGACCATCTCGGACAAAAGGTCCCCCGCTGCCGCTGGAGAGGACACTAGCTCGTCTATCAGGTACGTATTTAGTATTTACGATCCCTGTCCGGTTTGCGGTATGTTTTTAATTACCTGGTTTGTCTGTGTGTCTGCTTCCAGGGGTGTGTGTCGTCCGGGATGCATGTTTGGGTGGAAATAGATGACTTTTAGTTATGCGTAGCCATTAATTTAGAACACATATTCAGTGTTTGACATTAGGCTTATTGCGATTGAAACCCATTTTGCAATGCTGGATTATGAGGTTATATGTTTGCTATTATCGTGTTGACCTACAATTCGTCTAACTACCTAGCTTGTCAGCCGCACACAATCAAATTTTTTTGTTGTTTATTGAGTTAGCTCATTATTGGGAGCGTCGACCTTCGGGTCTAAATTTGTTTAAATGAAATTAAAGGCCAGCTATTGTGTTGACTTTTGATGTCAGCCTTAGTGCTATCCAAACAGAGTGTGATTAGAACAGTCACTCACTTGATTGCATTCTTGTCTGAAATATTGCTACCTGTGTTTTGTAACCTAGGCCAATGTAACAATCGATCGTAGAATTGTTGTCCTAAACCTGTCGTCTTATTCGGACGAAAAGTGTGCCAATAAGATGAATGATCGACACTTGATTATCGTGTGGAGGATATCACTTCTGCCCGGTTAGGCCTCCCCAAATTGACAACTTTATGCTGCAAGTGTGTGTCTGACGCTGTGAAAACCTGTTGCCTCAGAGAGCAGAGAACTCAACTCTAGACTCAGTCGCCACAGTCACCGTCACACGGACTGGGAACGGTGAGTGATACGACGTCTCAGACGTAACGTTGACGTTAATCACGTCGTGAACGTTATTTATAGATGTTGTTAATGTCACGTCTGACCTTTTTAACAATGGAGAACGTTTTGGTGAACGTAGTGAGCATTATACTCGATTTGTCTCGATTTGTGCGATTCCATGTGTGTTGTGTTTCGATTGTTGTGTTATAGCTTAGCTCCTGTTTTGTGAATTTACTTTATTTCCTACGGCGGATGGTGTCGCCGTTCAATCAGAGAGTCAAGTCAACGACTTGGTGATGCGGTTGGGCGTATTCGTATCTCTAGTTTATTGGATCTTGGATCCTTCAGAATCCTGGCACCATCCACCGAAAATTCCTGCTGAACTCCAGCCACTGACCAAACAGCATTCCTTCGGCATTCGGCCGACATCAGTGATGGTACCCGGCGCTGTTATCCGCTCAGCTAGAACTATCCTACGCCAGTATCCGCTCTGCCGCATAGCTTCCGCTTCCCGCTGAGTCGCTATTCCGCTGTTCCGCTACTCCGCTGCCCCGCTACCCTGCGCCTCTCGGCTAAAGCGGTTCGCTAAGTACAGATTGACTACTGCTCATGGAAGTGTTCAGGGGTTGAGAGGTTGAGTTATCTATGTGTTTGTTTATTATCATGTTGTTTGGCAGTTCCTTTGCTGTGATGTGTGAAGTTGTTTATTGGTTGTCAAGTGGTGATGGGAATTTATATGTCGGGTGTGTTTCAGTGGTCCACAAACGTGTTGCAGTTTCTTGCTTTGTGCTGGTGTTTATTGTGTTGTTCGTTTGAAGAGGAGTAAGTTGGCACTTTTTTCTCTTATAGATGCTAATTAATGGTCTGTTTATTTGTAACCATTATATGATGTAAAACCTGAAGTTTATGCAAATCATTTATTTAGAAAGGAGTCTCTAATGTACCTAATGAAACGAGTCTGTAAATGCACAGCTTTTTAGGAAGACCTATGTATTTAGGCATAGCATATGGTACACAGAGTTTCATGTCGGGCGTATGTAAATCTCCATCCCCGGACTTGCACCCGACGACCCTGACAACATTATCAGTGGGAGGGGCACTGGGGGCGTGGCAGCCGGGGGGAGGGGTGACCTTCGCAGTCCTATCGCAGTCGATTGTCTGTGGAGGGGGCGGGGGAGGGGAGGGAGGCGTGGCCCCCAGCCAGGACGTAGTAGAGCTGACGGATCGGAGACCAGTACATAATTTAATAACCACCTTGATAGGAAGACTAGAGCTGGCTATGAGTTATGCTTTGTGTAACTTTTGTGAAAAAATATAAATTTTACAACTAAGAATTCGGTGCTCAGGATATGGTGCCGCTGCTCCAATCAATGGAAAATGCATATTTTTATATACGATTTATCTGATTGAGGCTGTCCTGTGCCGGGTCCGTTGTTTGGGGCTAACCAGCCGCTCTGATATTGGTGATAGTCTGAGAGGCCGTAGGTCTGCCGGATTGGCGGTCCGCCAAGCGTGCACCCTGATGGCCCGTGCACACTTATGACTGGTCACTAACTAGCCACTGATCAATGCGTACTGGTCACTGCAGGCCACGTCACTGTGTGCTTCGCATTGGTCACTGGTCACTACGTGCTGCACGTTTGTACACTGAGTTATTGAACTGAATAACTCACTGATAGTCATGCTTAGCAGGACACGTGCAGAATTCGTCCTCGTCTGGTTTTTGCTCGAATCCCCTGGTCCCGTCCTGTCCCGTTTTGAGTTCCCGTGTCCTCCCTTACATCTCGTGTCCTGTCTTGTCCGCTCAGTCTGATCTGAATCATCCCTCCTTTATCCACTTTATCGTCTGTCTCACTCAATCAGTTTCCTTCTGTCTCGCCTCACCTCATTCCGTCTTCTCATGCCTTCCGTCTCTTTCCGTCTCTCTTCTTCCTTCCGGCTCGCCTCGCCCCGTTCTGACAATAACTGTGAGTATGAGACTGACAGTACCCGTCCTGATTCGTCCCGTCTAGCCAGTATCGTTTGGGTCGTTTCTATCCCATCAGTCAGTCGGAGTCCAGGCTGGTCAGACTTACTCAACTCCAGGTCCAACAGTCCTTATCGACCCTGTTTCACGAGCTCTCCCCAGCTTTCCACTAACTTGTTTCAACAATCTGTCCAACTTCCATCGTTTGCTCGGTTGTCAAACTCAACTCCCAGTTCTACTGACCAGACCCTGTCTAGCAATACGCCCAAAGTGCCCTCTCATCGCTGCCGCGGCGAGGCCCGAACCGATCGGTTTATAAGACTCAGCAAACGTTCCAACGTCCACTGCCTGTCGCGGCTGACGCGATGTCAGGGGCTGACGAAGCGTTGGAGCGAAGTCCGCGGGTCACAAGTGCAGAGTCCACGGGGAGACGGGTCTGCTGATCGCCGACGAAGGCTGAGTTGCTGACAGAGCTATGTCTGGGATGGATCAGGGTTCGGCTCTCTCACGGCGGGGCACTGACCGGGTTTATTCCGCTGGACTTTGATGGGCGAGGATCAGTGGTCACTCGGGCGTTTATTATGTCGACTATCCATCGCTGCTCTGTCAAATATTCAATGTTATAGGAAGTTGAAGAGACAGGAGTTTAGACTATAAGAGTCTACTCAGAATAAATAGTCGTGCGTATTTCGGTTTCCTGTCCTCTGATCTTACTTTCCCGGCCTGTAATACCTTTACTGAACTCTTCCAATGTTCAGCACTGTCTCGCAACAAGCCCGTCTCTTTATGCTATCAGAGCCTTTTTTGTTGTTTTCTCATGCGAATGATGCTCAGTGGCCACTAAGACGTACACTAGAATACTGATACACCGTGATGATCAGAAGTGTTCTTATTTATTTTATTTTTTATTGAATTTTATTCGTTCATGTAAAATACAAGTGACTTAGTTTGGTTCGTTAGGTGCTGTGCTGTGCCTGAATGTCTTTGACTCCTCCAAATCTGTCATTCACTACACCCTTTCACATTCAAGCGGGGTGTGATCGTCTGTTCTGCTTCAGCCACACGATTGACGCTGGCTCTCCGCTCCGTACTTGTATGTGACCTCGGAGTTGATTAGAACGCCAATGGCCACTCATGGTTGTCGCTTCGCTCAGCGAATGTAGCTGAGTTATCGTTCCATGTATGGTACGATAGAAATGTCCTCTGAATTCAATGGCAGTTGTGACTTTGAGCATCCATTTTCAGCCTTTCTTGTGAAAAGTTCATTGAATGTGCCCCAAGATCTGATCAGTGTGTTTGCTTTAGAAGGTTCAATTTGTATCAGGCATACGCGCATTGTTTTATTTTTTAATCGCATTACATCTGGAAACAGTCAGATTTGTACTTCATTCCGATTGCTTGAATAATTCGTCACAGCACTATTTCGCAAGTGCACTGCTAATTTCTCTCGTAGTCTTTCCGGGTCTTCTCTCTCTTGGTCTTTGGCCTCTGGTATCTAATAAGAGGTTCCGGATCAATCGGCTTTAACACTTCAAACAAACGCTAATCCCTTCTCTCGCTCTAACTAATCCTTCGTTTGAACAGTGATTGATCTCGTGTCTATCGGCTTAGCCTCGGTCCTATCACATGACCTGAAGCGTTACCCGGGGTTCGATCGGCTGAACTCGCATTTATTCACCAGCTGCAAACGGTAGTCGTTCAGCCCCGAAATCACGGTACGTCGTGTCACTATGGGTTTGTGTAAACATTGCTTGCAATGTTTGCACTGTTGAGGATATGGCGCGTGTGGTTACCGTCATAAATTTCAACATTCAAAGAATATTGTTGTGAACAGTATTGCCGTACCTATATACTGGATTACATATACGAAGATGTACTCGTATTTCCATTGAGACATCGGATGTTCTCATGCTTATCTCTTGCTAGCTACTACATGGACATTTTCTTTCCTGAACGCTCCTTCACCGTAGTACCTATCTTATGACCGATATATGTGTCTGCCTATGATCAATGACACTGAGTGGAAGACACTGTTGGGCGACCGGAACAGTGGTTGATAGCGACTATCTCTCGTTTTTCCGGTAGCGTCTGGGCATCTATCTCTGATTCTCAAGTGGAGCTTGTCTGTGATGACCACGAGCTACTTCAGTTATCAGCGGTTTTGTCCGGGGGCGGGCCGCGCCGGGTCACTGTGTTTTGACTGGGGATGGAGGACCGCAGTGGGGTTTTGAGGCAGATGGATGAAGGATGAATGATTAATTGACGGTAAATGGCTAATAGTGACAGAGTGTAACTTAGAGGCGGGTGGTGCTGCTTTCCAATGTTTTCTTCTTTTTTCTGTGTAATGCTTTTTTCTTCTTTTTTTTCTCGTGCTTTTATGATCTCGTCTCTTCTTCTCGTCTGTGCCCCTATCCCTTATTCTCTTTTTCGTTTTGTCTTTCACGTCCCCGAGCACAATCCCTCATCTCCTTTTTTTCTCTTAGCATCTCTCGACTGGCCTAGGCCAATGCTTCTAGGAAAATATCCTTGCCACTTCACTATCCTTTTTTATTGTCTTCCTTTTTATCCTTTTCAATTGCCAGTGGATTCCCTCTTCATTCCACATGGCTAGTGTTCAGCCATCTGAATGAGCAATAAAACAGGCATAGTTCAGTCTCACCTCGTCTGCAGCGGTTAATTGACTTACACCTCTCTTCTCCCTCCACGACCACATCGTAATCGTACCACCCCTGTCTCTCCCCATGATGACCACACCCCAATCGCCTACCCACTCACGACCACGCCCTCAGTTGCCATCGGCTCCCCCCCCCCCCCCCTCCTAGGGTGGTTGGTGACAGTAGTGTAAACGGTACCGTCTGGACGGCCAAAGTCAACACGGGCAGATCGCTCTGACCCATTGGGGCCGTCTCCTTGGCGGCTCTGGGGGGATTAAAATTAACAGCTCATTTTAGTTTTGTATTTGTAGCATTTGGTGACCTGCATAATGTTGGTAGTTTTTAAAATTATATTCGAGTTAGTCCCTTGGTTCTTGGTATCAGCGGTATTTCATGCA